ATTTTATTATTTTATTTTTATTATTTCATTACTTCCCTTCTACGTGACGACTTTACCGAAAGAACCAAGAAGATGAATCCCTGCAGTCACAAAACTTTAAATCGAAATGTATCTTCTTGGTTCTTTCGGTAAAGTCACGTAGAAGGGAAATAATAAAATAATAAAAATAAAACATAATAAAATACAATTCTCAGTGAGAATAATTTTATTATGTTTTATTTTTACTCTCAGTGAGAATAATTTATTATGTTAATTTTTAATATTTTATTACTTCCCTTCTACGTGACGACTTTACCGAAAGAACCAAGAAGATGAATCCCTGCAGTCACGAAAGAAGCTTTACATCGAAATCCGCCACTTTTACTTGTCATGTGCGGGAATTGGACTCGGGTCGCCGGGGGTCGCGACGCAGCGGTGACCACCGCACTACCGCTGTCCACACACGCGCACACACAAATACAAAGGATACACGCACTTACTCTGGCTCGTCTCACACAAACACATTAATCACGAATCTTTCCACCCGGCGCACCCCCTGGCCGTTCCGGCAGCCAGCAAAGCCAACCGCAGCCGCTGCACGTAAACACTGAGAGGAGAGGGGGGGCACGTGGGGGGATCGGAAGGCTGTAATGCCCTCCTAGCTCCACTGTTGCTTTGTAGCGCAGCGCTGACAAGTCGACAAGTCTCAGCTCGACGGCCACCCCTACGCTCTAACCAGATGTCCCGCCACACTGCAAGATGTTCAGCTCCTCGGCCAGATGTTTGTCCAACTGCATGGTCAGATGTCCTACTCCATGGTCAGATGTCTATCCAACTGCATGATCAGATGTCCCACTCCACGGCCAAATGTATATCCAACTCCATGGTCAGATGTCCAACTCCATGTCCAGATGTCCAACTGCATGGTCTAATGTTCAACTCCTTGGCCAGAAGTCTGTCTAACTCCATGGTAAGATGTCCCACTCCATGGTCAGATGTCCAACTGCACGGTCAGATGTCCAACTCCATGTCCAGATGTCCAACTCCATGTCCAGATGTCCAACTCCATGGTCAGATGTCTATCCAACTCCACGGTCAGATGTCCCACTCCACGGTCAGATGTCCAACTGCACAGTCAGATGTATGTCCAACTCCATGTCCAGATGTCCAACTGCATGGTCCAATGTTCAACTCCTTGGCCAGATATCTATCCAACTCATGTCCAGATGTCCAACACCTTAGCCAGATGTTTGTCCAACTCCATGTCCAGATGTCCAACACCTTAGCCAGATGTCTTTCTAGCTCCATGGTCAGATGTCCAACTGCACGGTCAGATGTCTGTACAACTCCATGTCCAGATGTCCAACTGCACGGTCAGATGTTTGTCCAACTCCATGTCCAGATGTCCAACTGCATGGTTCAATGTTCAACTCCTTGACCAGATGTCCCAACTCCATGTCCAGATGTCCAACACCTTAGCCAGATGTCTGTCTATCTCCATGGTCAGATGTCCAACTGCACGGCCAGATGTTTGTCCAACTCTATGTCCAGATGTCCCACTCCATGTCCAGATGTCCCACTCCATGTCCAGATGTCCCACTACATGGCCATATTGCCTACCTGACTATGGCCAGAAGTGTTAAATCTGCAATTCTTACCTTGGCTGCTCCAATCAATGTTTACAACCAGCGTTGTTGGCAGGCAATGTTTGCTGGCAACTGAACAACTGAATTTCCTAACAATGGAACGTTTAGTGACCAGGCAATGAAAATGATGGAGAGCATTTCAGATCCCATTACTTTGTCCAAAGAACATTCCAAGCAAAGGTCACAGGAGTTTTTCTCGCTCATTAGAGCATATTGCGTAAAATCTGGTCACTCGGTGGGGAGGTGATCCCCACACTTCTATAACGATATCAATCAGCTCAATGCCTCTCATCAGGTGACTTCTGTGCAGACACGCCAACTCTGAATCCCTCCCCTCTCATCTCTAAATCTACATCTTCTTTTGTCAAGGAGCATAAACCATCATCACGCAAACTCCGGTCATCCTCGCAGAAGCTTGTGGCTAGCTATCGAACAAAGATGGTCACCGCATCATGCGCTTTCCGATGCGCTTCCGTGGCCGTCTGGAACGCTCTTCCTTCCGATATTAGGCAGCCACTGGCGCTATGCACTTTTAAATAATCTAGATTGGAAACTCATTTCTTTAGAATTGCTTTTTATGTTTCGTTTGTTGTCCTTCCCCCGCACCTCCCAATTAGCACGGTTCGCGATGTACGATGCGAAAGAAGTTAAACATACACACATCTGTGAAATCCACAGCAAGAAAAAAAAGTACCCACTTTTATAAAAAAAAATGTGCTGTGGATTTCACACCTGACGATGATTGCTTGTGTTGCAGTCGAAACGTCGTGAGAATTTTTATTGTTTTATATTTATATTATTTTATTATTTCCCTTCTACGTGACTTTACCGAAAGAACCAAGAATATGAATCCCTGCGGTCACGAAAGCTTTAAATCTAAATTTATACACACATCTCTCTAAATGAGCTCAAACTTCCCGTAACCCACGTGACTTCTGCGTGACCACGCCCACTCTCAACCCCTAACCTCTCTGCCCCTCCCACTATGAAAACAGACGCTGTTCCATGTGCAGCAGCGTCGAGGCTCTCGTGTAGCCTCCTATACCCAACCCTCAGCTCTTCAGACCACTCTGCTCTGGTTTTTTCCGTTCCATTTCCATCCCTTTCCTCTGTTTCCCCACTCTAAAACTATTTTAAAACGATGTTTTATTTCGATTTAAAGCTTTCGTGACTGCAGGGATTCATCTTCTTGGTTCTTTCGGTAAAGTCACGTAGAAGAAAAATAATAAAATAATAAAAATAAAACATAATAAAATAATTCTCACGACGTTTCGGCCACAACGCAAGCAGCCGTCTTCAGGTGAAGAACAGGTTTGTCGAGAAGACACTGCAGCATGAGAAGTCTGTCTTCTCGACAGACCTGTTCTTCACCCGAGGACGGCTGCTTGCGTTGTGGCCGAAACGTCGTGAGAATTATTTTATAATGTTTTATTTTTATTATTTTATACTTCCATTTTACGTGACTTTACCGAAAGAACCAAGAAGATGTTTTATTTTATCAGGTAAGGGCCCCACTGAGCTATGCAGCTCTTTTTCAGAAGCGACCTGGCCACCACAAGTATTAGCCCAACGAAGTGGCTTGTCAACAACGTGTGGCAATGTATCACAGCCGATTACTCTAAACGCATGACGTCGATTTGAAATGTGGAGGGGAAAACTGGAGGACCCGAAGAAAAAAATCAACGCGACCACAGGGAAAAAGAGAGACACACGCAAACTCCAAATACACTGGTCAACAAAAAAAAAAAAATTCTGGCCTGGACTTTTGCAGCTGTTTTCAGGGTGCTGATTCCAAATCTGATCTCAGATTTGCTCTATCACATCTCATTTTTATGCTATCGGCATACCCCATTTTCATTGATTTTACCCGAAATTAACTCTGTCACTTATGATTGCAAGTTGTTGCGAGTCAGTGACTGCTTTAGTGTTAAAATATGGTGCTGTATTTTAGGATAGTGTGTTTATAATATCATTTAATGTAGATATCCACATTTATTTAATATTTTTCTTCTGCAGTTTTTATTGAAAATTCAATATTTGATATCTCAAAAGCCTGATGTGATAGACAAAAACTGATGCCAGATTTGGAATCAGCACCCCAAAATTACCTTAACCCGTTGGAATACCTTATGCCAGAAAAAGTGTGTTGACCAGTGATATAGAGCGGGCGTCAGGGTCGGGATCGAGCCCACAACCTCGTTCATACCAGGCGAGGTAGTAAACATCTCGCCACCATGGCACCTTGTTCTTTTCACCTCCCTCACCCGTTCCTTCTGTCCCTCTCTCCATACTTTATTTATCCGTCACTTTCCGCGCCTTCCAGGTGGTGTGGCCACGTTGTACACAAGCCGTTCGTATGAACAAAGAATTGCCTTGCAATTCGTTGCCTGCTTGACCTTTTACAGACTGTGAATGAAGTCATTTCTCGTTCGTAGCGGTTGTTGCGTTCCGGAAAAGTGTCGCGTTAAGGCGAGGAATTACTGCACAGTACCGAATCACATTGGCAGTGTAAAGTCAGCCTGCAGTCATCCCATGGTGGGACACAAAACTGAGATGGCGGTACACTGCCACCATGTACTGTATCATTCCACACAAACTGCATCATTCCGTATGTAACGGGTTCCGGAGACACTTGTAGAGGTAACTTCGTTATTACAATCCAACACTCCAACAGTCCTGATACTCTGTTACAGCCTAGGTACACAGCCTAGGTACACAGCCTAGATACACAGCCTAGATACACTACTCTGGCTATGCTCTGGAACTCGCCCTCACAAGGACGTAGAGCCGGGAGTTCCAGAGTCCCACCACTGGCCCTTACAGCGTCCCAGGGTCCTCAGATGGCTGGTCAAGGGTCTTGGGTCTTGAGCTACAACTGGGCCTCGATCGTCCAGGGAGCTGCCCCTTTATGCCTCGTCCCCAACGAGGGGTGGGGTTGTGTGCGCCCCCAGATATCCCACAGAGCACACACAGCCCCCCCCCTGTTGGTGGCGCCAAGGGGCTTAAGCGTCTGGGTTGCCTAGGGTCCCAGAGCCCCCAGCAGCCCCTCCCTCTTATGTCACTACACGTGTACTGTGTCAGCCGCGCAGCTCAAGAAAGTATTTCGTCGTCGACCACTCAGAAACTGTGTGATAATGGGCGCGCGTTCCATGCTATAACGGGCACGTGTTATGCGTTATAACAGGCACGCGTTCTGCGTTATAACGGGCGCCCGTTCCGCACTGCAGCATGAGAAGTGGCCCATAATGCATTGCGTTTGGGAGTGGGAGAACTGACCGATGCTCCGTCCCATACTACAGAGTCAACGTCCACCTCCGTTCTCCTGCTCCGTCTCAATTGCTACTGATGATGTCGTCGCTCTCCTCTGCCTTTCAGAAGCACAGTCACTTTGCGGACTCGACGAACCTCGGCATCTCCACACCCGTTCACTCCGCCACCGCGAATCCTTCGCGTCGTTCGGTCAGGGGGCCTCACGCAGGAGCGCTCAACCCACCCCGTCGGCTAAGCGACCGACCTTCCACTCGTCGCAACCCTTCGACTCCACGTGGCAAGGATGCACCGTCACAGGTGCCCGTGCTGGTCCTGCTGGCGCTACAGCTGCTGCTGCTGGGGCGTGGACCCGGGCCGCGCTAGAGTCCTCGAACGCTCCACCCACGGCCCCCACCGCCGACTCCACAGGAGGGCCTTGGCGGCCGCGCCCGCAGGCCGCGTCGGCAAGGGCCTGCTCCGACCCCACGCGGCCCCTCTGGCGGCCTCGGGCGGCGAGCAGCAGGTGTCGGTGCAGCTGCCCGCCGACAGCGTCACCAGCTCCGGGCCGTCGCCCGTCGTCTTCAACCACGTCTACAACATCAATGTGCCGCTCGGCTCCATGTGCAGCGTGGACCTGCAGGCGGCGCGGGGAGCGGCCGGGGCTGCGGCCGCTGCTTCTATCGTGAGCCCTCAGGATGAACCTGGCACCCCCCACCCCACCCCTCCCCCCCCCATCAATTCCCCCTCTCCACACACCCCTCCTCCCCTGCTGAGCTCTCAGTTTCAATCCTGAATTCTGAGCTCCCCTCTTTCTCTCCCCCCTCCTCTTCCTGTCCTCCTCCCCCTCTCCTCTTCCTTCACATCCACCTCCTCCTCCTCTCTCTCCTCCTTCTCCTCTTTCTTTCATCTCCCTCCTCCTCCCCACTGTCTCAAAACTCCGAAACTGATCTCACGCGTTACCTGAACTGCACGCAGGCAGACTAGGGGTGATCAATCCGAGATTTTTACTACCTCACTTGGTATACAGGTCGTGGGTTCGATCCCGACCTGATGCCTGTATATTTGTAGTTTGCAGTGTCTCTCTTCCCGTGGTCTCGTGGATTTTTCTCCGGGTCCTCCGGATTTTCCCTCCACATTTAGAATCAACATCACGCGTTTAGAGTATTTGACTGCTTAGAAATTTCCACATTAATAAGCCACTTCGTTGAGCTATCATTTGTGTCCAGGTTGCTTCTGAAAATAACTATACAGATCAGTGGGCCTTACCGGGTAAAATAAAAATTATGTTGTTTTTAGTTCAGTATACAGTCATAATCAGTATTTTAACTTAACCTCCACCTCCCAGCGACAGAGCCAATCACAATGAATCTCCAATATTCCTCCTGTTTTGCCGATACAATCCAATGTTAAACGCGTGCAACGTTGCTATACGTGCATCGGCTGCAATCGTGGGGTAATTAAAGTTTAAGTTCTTATCTGCAGCGGGCAACTTTGTTCACAGAGAGCCTTTGTGAACAAAGTTGCACAAGCAACACGGACTCGGATTGGCTGGACCGAGTCACGTGCTGTGTCATGGCACCGGGTAAAAAAAATGGCCGCGTTTCTTTCACGCGTGCGACAGCTCGGAAGATTTACTTGCGATACGAGCGTTGAATTAATTTACGGGAAATAACATTCACCTCCTAGTCATCTGTAGTTCTGTATATTAACATTTTTTTTCACATTCCTTAATTCGTGTTTATTAAATCCTTTATATTAAGTTCGCTTGCTTGCGTGCTTGCGTGCTTGCTTGCTTGCTTACGACCGTACAAATCTTTTGGTCGTTTTCTTAACACACTTCCCGTGATCCAATCGAGCTGACATTTTCCACACAGACTCGTTGAGCGTGGCAATTAATTTTCGTGAAAAAAATGTTCCAAAATTTTACACTGTTTAGGGAATTTTTAAAAATATTTAATGACCAATTGCTTAATACTGGTAGACAATCATCTGACCCATAGGTGGCAGCCATCTCAAGCCAGAGGACGAGAGCACTCTAGCCGCCACGCATATAAAGGATTTATAGTGAAAAACTTTGTTTTACGGGTAAATTTTTTTTTTGGCTGAGTCCGGATTCCTTTCATCGCTTAGATCACTCTTGCCAGGCTCTCCTCTTGGCCCGGGCTGTCCCAGGCGAGGAGGGGAGGGTGGCACGTGCGTCGATTATTACAGATAGGCACCAGCGGCTGCGGTTTCACGGCTCGCTGGTGGATAACAAACTTCACGTTGTAAATCATCAAAGAGCAACAACCGCTTAGGAGTTTAGCACCCTTTGAGAATGCGGGCGGGCAGAGTTACGTTGGTGGGGGGGGGGGGGTTGCGCTGTGTCTGGGTTTTCCTGAGTTGTTATCGGTTGGTTGGCCATGCTCCATAATCTTGACGAGGATCTTGGCCAGGTTACGTGTCGACTCATTGTTCTTAATCAGTTAAGATTTATTCAGATGTTATTTTTTTAATGGTTTATCTGTAAAGGTTTTTTTTCCTCGTTTGATTATTAAAGTTTTTTTTCTTTCTAAGGGTAAATGTATTTGTATCGGCTTTTAGCTGTTAAGGGATTGATTCAGTTTCATCTGTTAAGGTTTTTATATATTTTGTTAAGGTTTTAGCTGCAAAGGTTTATTCAGTTTTATTTATTTAGGGTTTTATCTGTCAAGGATATATTAGTGTTGTATTCAGTTGTGTTTTTTGGGGGTTTTATCTGTTAATGGTTTAGTAAGAGTTTTGGTTCTATCCGTATAAGATTTTTTTTTTCAGTTTTATTTGCAAATATTTTTTTTTTATATGTTAAGGGTTTATTTAGTTGTACTTTTCAGGGGTTGTATCTGTTAAGGGTTTTATTAGTTTTATCAGTTGAGGGTCGCGTTATTTTATGCAGAGCGCTGTGAGACCTTGTTGTGAATGACGCTGTATTAGAATCATCCTTTTAGCAAAAATGTCGAACTCAATTGCTAAACGCCATGGACTACTCTCCACTGTACCGGTGTGCTGAAGCAATAAGCAAGGCCCGGCATGCTTGTCCACGTGATAACTTTATTCATTTGACCGTGCCGGGTGGAGGAGGGTGCACGACACACGTTGGAATTTCACTCACGCGATTGTACCAGATTAAAACAAATATATCAAAAATCTTCTTGGTTCTTTCGGTAAAGTCACGTAGAATGGAAATAATAAAATAATAAAAATAAAACATAATCAAATATTTCTCACGACGTTTCGGCCACAACGCAAGACAGCCGTCCTCAGGTGAAGAACAGGTCTGTCGGAAAGACAGCGTCTGACAGACCTGTTCTTCACCTGAGGACGGCTGCTTGCGTTGTGGCCGAAACGTCGTGAGAATTATTGATTGTGTTTTATTTTTATTATTGTATTACTCCCCTTCTACGTGACTTTACCGAAAGAACCAAGAAGATGAATCCCGCAGTCACGAAAGTTTTAAATCGAAATATCATGAATCGTAAAAGTCACGTGTGAGAAAGCCTACACCATTTACATTCAACAAAACACCCGACAACTTCAAACGCAACATGAGTGATAATAACCCTCTCGAGTCCCCGAATTCATTCCATGGCTTTAAAAGGCTCTTCTTATCTCTCCTCCACTTCTACGCACGCCTGTGGGCCCCCACTCGCCAATTTAAATAATGGCGCCAGGGTGGTAAGTCCAACAGCCGAGTGGAGTGGCGTGCCGGGCTTGCACAGCCTATTAAACCTGCCCCAGTGTTAAACACTGCCACGGCACTGGTGCAAGACCCTTGCATTGTTCTTCTTGGTTCTTTCGGTAAAGTCACGTAGAATGGAAATAATAAAACAAAACATAATAAAATAATTCTCACGACGTTTCGGCCACAACGCAAGCAGCCGTCCTCAGGTGAAGAACAGGTTCTGTCGATAAGACAGAGTCTGAATGACACGTCCTGGGCTTGGAGCGTCTATTTAAGCTGGGAGGGAGGAGGAAGAGCGCCTTGACAAATAATTTGTATATCAAGAGGAATTTTATCATATTTATGTAACATTACACTATGTATTTTTCTACCCACCCTACTGCACACCACACATTGCTCAAGCCCAGATCCACACTTGCACACAGAGAGGGTTTACCCACGGGGTGGTGAAACCCCCATGCAGGTGACCCCCAGATGCCGGCCCTGTAGCTACCACTGCGAGGTCGCACTTATTACACACAAAGTGCTTGACACAAATGAACCACAATACCTCGCTGATCTCGTGAAGGAGCATAAACCACCATCACGAAACTCCGGACAATCCTCGCAGCCATCAACAAAGACGGTGGTCACTGCTGAATCATTGTGTTACGTTCAGATGCGCTCTGCGGGCCGTCTGGAATGCTCTCTTAGGAAGCCACTGGAGTTACGCACTTTTAAATCATCTTGATTGAAAACTAATTTCTTTAGAACTGCTTCTTGTTTGGTTTGTTGTCCTTCCCCTGCCCCTCCGATTAGCACAGTTGGCTAGTACGGTGCGAGAGTAGTTCACATACGTGGAGGAGTGGCAAACCTTGGTCTTGCTGTTATATTTGAAGGCTCTTTACGGCTGTAGCGGTTGCACCAGCCTCTGTATTGCAGCAACCACTTTAGCAGCAACTCTAGCCAGGGCAGTCATGTGGGGGGGGGGGGGGGGGTGTGCGGGTCCAGGGCAAAATCCCTGCCTGGCCCCACCGACGCCTTCAAACTAAACCGGATGTATCACATCTGACACCGGACATCTGACCACAGGGTTCAGTCCAATTGTCAAAGCACATTTGCGAAATATATGTTGTTAATATTCTCGAGTGGCCCCTAGGGAAAGCACCAAGCACCGTGATGGCATGCGATTGCTTTAATTTTAAAAACCGCATTCGTGCCCTCTACCACGAGCCCTGCACGCAGCAAGTGAACGCCGAGTCTCTCAGTCTGCACATCATCATCATCTGGGATCCCTCGAGTTCAACTGTGATGATCCTCCATGGACAGCGATTATTGGTCAGGGTTTGTGGGGTAGCACAGGTGGCTGACGAGGCCCATCCTGGAACCACACACGCCTTGTTCACAGTGATGGCGCCGCGTGTTGTCGTTATTGATAGTTTGGAAACTTCGAGTGACCCGTCTAGCCTGGCTGCGTTCTTTCCTTCGTGCCCGTTTTGTCGGTTTCGCGATGGCCGGCATCTTTGTGACTCGAATTCCAAGATGAGCACTCGAGTGCTAGCTGCCGCCCCCCCACCCCCCCCCATGTTACCTGGGTCGATGTTGCACTTGTGATGTTGCTCTCACCAAGTGTAAGAGCAACCGCGCCTGTAATGTTTCTGCTGGCCCCCTCTGGAGCGTGTCCTGATCTTGAGTTGGGAATAGAGGACTTGCTGATCATGTGCAACAACCCAACGGAGCTGAACTTTGAGTGATGGCAGCTTTAAAAAAACTCCAGGATCCGGCCTCTTTAAGAACACCCAACATTTGGTTTGTTTGTATCTGCCAGGTGATGCCAAGCATTTTCCGTAAGCAGCGCTGATGGAAATTCTCAACGCCTTGAGGTGTGATAATGTGCACAAACCAACAGAGCTGACGTTGAGTGATGGCAGCCTTAAAAAAACTCCAGGATCAGGCCTCTTCAAGAACACCGACATTTGGTTTGTTTGCATCTGCCAGGTGATGCCAAGCATTTTCTGTAAGCAGCGCTGATGGAATTTCTCAACAGCCTTGAGGTGTCTTCTCTACGTTTCACACGTCCTGTGCAATACAGGAGTGTGGGGATCACGACAGAATTATAGACCACTAATCTGGTGGTCGTGATGATGTCGTGGCCATTTAAGACTCCTGTCTTAGGCGAACGAAGGCTGCGACGTTGAATCTCCTTGTCGATGTCTACTTTGCGTGACAGATGTCTGCCAAGATGAGGAAAATACTCCACGTTCTCTAATAAGGTATCCTGGACCCTGATTAGAGGTGGAGGTGATGGAACACTGGAATTCGGCGGAAATAATGCTTTTGTTTTTCTGGTGTTGAGTGTAAGCCCCATCCTGCTGTACGCTCCGGCAAAGACATCAACAATTACCTGAAGATCGGTGACCGTACAAGCACCAACTACTGCGTCACCTGTATATTGCAGCTCCACGAGAGATGCGAACGCGATCTTAGATTTGGCTCTGAAGCGGCCGAGATCAAAGAGTTTGCCGTCCATCCTGTTGGTTCGTTTTACACCAACAAGGAGTCTGTCCAATGGTAGATGAAGTGTCACTGCAAGAAAGATGGAGAAGAGCATTGCGGCAATAGCACGTCCTCATTCGACGCTGGCCCTTATGTCAATCGGGTCAGCCGTGGAGCCATTGCAGACGATTACCGCCCTGGACGCCATCGTGGAGGAGACGGAGAATGTTCACAAACTTTATGAGTTTCGATTTAAAGCTTTCGTGACTGCAGGGATTCATCTTCGTGGTTCTTTCGGTAAAGTCACGTGGAAGGAAAATAATAAAATAATAAAAGTAAAACATAATAAAATAAAGTAATAAAATAATATAAAATCATTTTTAATGTTTTATTTTTATTATTTTATTATTTTTCTTCTACGTGACTTTACTGAAAGAACCAAGAAGAAGAAAAAAAACTTTATGGGGGCAGCCATTTTTTTCAGCAGGGCCTCACGGTTGACGGAGTCGAAGGCTTTGGTCGGATCAAAGAAGGCCACGTAGAGGGGTTGATGTTGCTCGTGGTACTTCTCTCGCAGTAGTCGAGCAGAGAAGATCATGTCTGTAGTGCCTCTTGCTTGGTCTACAGCAGTGGTTCTTAAGGTGCACGCACTCCCTGGGGTGCGAGATGCCCTTTGTGGGGGTGCGAGACACGGCCAGATTTCTTAGGAGGTAAATCATCAAAACACAAATTAAGCACCGGCACTTACATACTAATCTTGATTTGAAGCTTTCGTGACTGCAGGAATCCATACTCTTTGGTTCTTTCGGTAAAGTCACGTTGGTAGAAATAAAACAAATCACGACGTTTCGAACGCAACACAAGCGCTGGTCTTCAGGTGGAAATCTCGATAGTCGCGATGATGTCTGCTGCCTTGAGCAGCACGATGTCTGCTGCAGACATCCGACCAAAGCCTTGTGTTTGAGAACGATTGAGAAGCAAAGGGGTGCGCGGCTGCAGTAAATGTTAGAAACCGTCGCTCTAAATCCACTGAGCTTGAACTGGCCACGCCCAGGACCTCTATGACGCGTCGGGAGAAACGTGGCTACTCAAGCGCTGTGGGTGGAGGCCCGGTGTCTGCCTATGTCATTACTGTGTTGCGTTCCCATTAATCGTATTCAAATTCCTCTCTTCATGGGTTTAAAATGGGGGGTGTCTGTTTTAGTGCTGAATAAGACACTGCGCCCCACAGTTTCAGCAAACCTGCTAAGGCTCAATGTCAGCTCTCCGTTGACGTCCTTAAAACAAAACGGGATGGATGAATATCTCTCTGGCTAGGATAGCGGATGATTGATTTCACTTACAACAGTGGTTACAATGTTAAATAGAGTGACCCTCATCTGGAATAAGCGATAGGGCAGAGTGAAAGACACGATATAAGTGATCCAGCGCAGAACTACGAGCAGATTGATGAATCGCATCGCTGTAATAAAGTTCTGGTCGGAAGGAGGATGCCTTGAGGTAATGGCAAGTGGATAATGAGAAGCAGAATTTATCTTTGAATCTGACTTTCAGTTTCGTGGGTTTAAGTGTTTATTTCCCGAAATTCAAGTGGGCATCGAGCCAGAGGTGCCAGACACGTGTAAGAGTTTCCATTTTCACCGCCATAGCCAAAATGGGGATGACAGAAATGGTGTAAAAAAAATGGGGGATTAAAGAGCACTTGGGAGACGCGACAGATTACACGTCTCGTGGAGTGTCGGCGACATACCGTTCCGTTCAATGCAAAATCAAAATCTGTTTGCAAACTATGTTTGGGCTTCATCCATCAAGGAGGCAGGTGGATATCCAATTCCGTGAGCAGAAGGAAGTGGGTTTTCCATTGTGTCATCAGGGTCCCCAGGAGAACTAGGTCGGGTAGGTTGTGTTGTTTCCCCACACTGAAGATAGATTACCGCAATGAGCTTTTTTTCTGGTATTTCTGGTCGTGCTATTTCGCAACTGTAACTTGTCTTCCTTCTGGTATTAGGAAGTTACTGGAGCAGTGCACTTTTAAATCATCGAGATTGAAAACTCAGTTCATTCGAACGGCTTTTTGTGTTCCGTTTGTTGTCCTTTTCCCGCACCTCCGATAACACTGGTCAACAACAAAAAAAAACTTTTTTCTGGCCTGGACTTTTGCAGCTGTTTTAGACTAATTTCAGGGTGCTGATTCCAAATCTGATCTCAGATTTGCTCTATCACGTCTCATTTTAATGCTATCGGCATACGCCCTTTTCATTGATTTTACCCGAAATTAACTCTGTCACTTATGATTGCAAGTTGTTGCGAGTCAGTGACTGCTTTAGTGTTAAAATACGGTGCTGTATTTTTAGAATAGTGTGTTTATAATATCATTTTATGTAGATATCCACATTTATTTAATATTTTTCTTCCGCAGTTTTTATTGAAAATGCAATATTTGATATCTCAAAAACCTGACGTGATAGACAAAAACTGATGCCAGATTTGGAATTACCTTAAAACCGTTGGAATACCTTATGCCAGAAAAAAGTGTGTTGACCAGTGTTGTCGCGGTTGGCTGTGTATGGTGTTGCGAAATAATTTCAACGTACATACAATCAATCGATCTTAATTATACGTGCCAATATCGACCTCAGTGAAGTAGGCTAAAGTGCACATTATAACAGAATGGGAACGATAATTGTTTTTTACCCTTCTATCTGGCAACAAAACTGACACCTTTTTTTACAAGGAGTCATGTTTGCATAGACCACAATACCTGCAGCCATAATGCAAATTTTTTTATCATATTTTTTACTGGCAAATGAGGTTCCAATGGTGTAAATGCTTACCCCGAGCTCTCTTACTCTGATGGCGCATTGTCTTTGAGTTGTGCGCCTTTTGGCGTCATCTGGTCCAACACCATGTGAGACTAGGCTCTAAGGAAAGCTGTCTCGGGTGTGGACCAATCAACTTCAAGGACAGTGTATATATTATCAGAGTTATGTTTTTTGTTTGCATTATGACTGCAGGTATTGTGGTCTATGCAAACATGACTCCTTGTAAAAAAGGTGTCAGTTTTGTTGCCAGATAGAAGGGTAAAAAAACTATTATCATATTTTTACTGGCAAATGAGGTTCCAATGGTGTAGAATGGGAACGGTACAGGAGCTTGGCACAAAAACAATGAAAACACCCACGACTTAAGCGGCGGACACCCATTGAGCAAAAATAAAGTGCAACCGTGCGGAAACGAACGCACAACACAACCTGTACAACATCCTGCTACTTTGTTCCCCCACGCTGAACACAACCCATGTGCCCTGTTCCTGTGTGCAGACTCCAGGCCACTCTCACGTAGAGCGCACGGAAGACGGCGAGAACAGCGTGGTCTTCACGCACCGCATCAACATCCCTCCGCAGGCGTGCGGGTGTGGAGGGGCCGGCGGTGGGGGGGCCCTGCCCAACCTCCAGGACCTGCTCAGTCGCCTGGAGGCCATGGAGAACGAGGTCTCCTCTCTACGCCAGCTCTGCTCCGGAGCCTCCGGGGGCTGCTGCAACGGGGGCCAGGGGAACGCGGCGAGTGGTGAGAGCTCCAGTCACCTCTCACTACACGCTGTAATCATCCGCGCTGTGATGAGTGCGGTTCTAGGAACCGTGTCCGTGTGATATGCTTAGCTGCAGTGTAACGGCCAGCGCGCTGCGCTATGAACCCGGCGACACGAGTTCGATACCCGCTTACGACCGCCAACACCAGTGACGGTTATCTGAATCGTTCCTGGGCCTCCCTGAGGTCGACTCAGCCTCAAATGAGTACCTGCTATGACGTGTAAACATCGTCACTCAGGAGACGAAGGCGGTTGGGCGTGGTGCTCGCCATGCATCCCTCGTGTCCCGTGCCGGCCTTCATAGGTGCTGCTCGCTAACAGCACTTGCCCCTGCAGTCTGTTAAGGCTACACGCAGAGCCGGCCCAGCCACTAAGCGACCCTTGCAATTGCAAAGGGCCCCGTGGCCAGCAGAGGGCCCCCCTAGAGTCACTGCTAGCTAGTGGGTGAAAAAAATCATACATCAAAGGGGCCTCCAACCAAATTTTGCTTAGGGCCCCCAAAGGTCTAGGCAGTGGCGGCTCCTGCAAAATCTCTCAGGGGGGGCAAATGTCTGGATGATTTATAAGGATAAGGTCCACCCATGCAAAAGATAAATTAACAGCTTAAGCATGTAAAGGCAACTTCACTTCTTTAATATTAATGAAAAATAAAGTGACTCTTACAATACATCTTGTTTGTTTCTATACTCACTATTAATACAATCCACTCAAGTTTCTTTTATTAAAGATTCTACTAGGTGGCGACAAATAATATTGTTGGATGAAATGTGCTTACGTACGATGACGTAAGCACGTTAGTGCGAGCCCTCCCGGAAGCCATAGAGAATGCATTGCAGCGCCCCCCGTTCGAAAAAAAACATCTCTGAATGTAAGTCTATGGGAACACTCTGGGCGATTCTCAGCCGGAGTGAAATCGCCCAAAAAGAGGCGGTACTCCACAGAACGTGACATGACGCTGATTGGACTATATCCAGAGGCACAGTGACGGCTAGCGTGACTCTGTGGTTGAATGACATTGGTGGTGCGTCGCCCAATCGCCCTAATGAAGAAACCGCCCCTGGGTCTAGGGCCGGTTCTGGCTACACGGGAGCGATGGCTCTTTGTTTTTAAATCCTTTATATTAAGTTCACTTGCTTGCTTGCGACCGTGCAAATCTTTCGGTCGTTTTTTAACCCACTTCCCGTGATCCAATCGAGCTGACATTTTGCACACGGACTCGTTGTGCGAGACAATTAATGTTCGTGAAAATTTTTTTCCAAAATTTTACACTGTTTAGGGAAAACAAATTAAATATTTAATTACCAATTGCTTAATACTGGCAGACAATCATCTGACCCATAGGTGGCAGCCATCTCAAGCCAGAGGACGAGAGGACTCTAGCCGCCCCGATGCCACGCATATAAAGGATTTATAGTGAAAAACTTTGTTTTTACGGGTTATACTTATTTGACTTACTGAGCAGGCGCATTTGCTTTGCGTGTCGCTTGCAGCTGGCCGCACCGACTACCTGCCCGCGTGCGGAGGCCACGGCTCCTTCAGCCTGGAGACATGCGGCTGCATCTGCGAGCCGGGCTGGAGCGGCAAGAACTGCACGGAGCCGACGTGCTCGCCGCCGTGCGTGCACGGCCGCTGCGTCGACGGCGCGTGCCTGTGCGACGAGGGCTACTCGGGGCCCGACTGCCGCGTGCTCAAGTGCCCCAACGACTGCAACGACTACGGCCGCTGCGTCGACGGCAAGTGCGTGTGCGACGACGACTACACGGGCGACGACTGCAGCGAGCAGCGCTGCCCGAACGAGTGCAGCGACCGGGGCAACTGCGTGGACGGGGTGTGCGTTTGCGACGAGGGTTTCACTGGCGAGGACTGCAGTGGGACCCGGTGTCCGAATGACTGCCAGGACCGCGGCCGCTGTGTCAATGGCCAGTGCGTGTGCGACGAAGGCTTCACCGGCGACGACTGCAGTGAACTGACCTGCCCGGATGACTGTAAGGACAGAGGACGATGCGTCGATGGGAAATGCATCTGCGACGAAGGCTTCACTGGTGAAGACTGCGGCGAATTGACCTGTCCCAACAACTGTCAAGACAAAGGAAGATGCGTCGATGGGAAATGCGTCTGCGATGAAGGTTTCACGGGCGAAGACTGCAGTGAATTGACCTGTCCCAACAACTGTCAAAACAGAGGACGATGCGTCAATGGGAAATGCATCTGCGATGAAGGTTTCACTGGGGAAGATTGCAGTGAATTAACCTGTCCCAATGATTGTCAAGACAAAGGAAGATGCGTCAATGGTAAATGCATCTGCGATGAAGGTTTCACTGGGGAAGACTGCAGTGAATTGACCTGTCCCAATAATTGTCAAGACAAAGGAAGATGCGTCAATGGGAAATGCATCTGCGATGAAGGCTTCACTGGAGAAGATTGTAGCGAACTTAGGTGTCCCAACGACTGCAGTGACAAAGGAAGATGCGTCGACGGGAAATGCGTCTGTGATGAAGGCTTCACTGGGGAGGATTGTAGTGAACTTAGATGTCCCAACGACTGCAGTGACAAAGGAAGATGCGTCGACGGGAAATGCGTCTGTGATGAAGGCTTCACTGGGGAGGATTGTAGTGAACTTAGATGTCCCAACGATGCAGTGACAAAGGAAGATGCGTCGACGGAAATGCGTCTGATGAAGGCTTCACTGGGGAGATTGTAGTGAACTTAGATGTCCCACGATTGTCAAGACCAAGGAAGGTGCGTCGATGGCAAATGTGTCTGCGATGAAGGCTTCACTGGGAAGATTGTAGCGAACTTAGTGTCCCAACGACTGCAGTGACAAGGAAGTGCGTCGACGGGAAATGTGTCTGCGATGAAGGTTTCACTGGAGAAGATTGTAGCGATCTTAGATGTCCCGACGACTGTAATGACAGGAAGGTGCGTCGACGGGAAATGTGTCTGCGATGAAGGTTTCACTGGGGAAGATTGTAGTGAACTTAGGTGCCCTAATGACTGCAGTGACATAGGAAGATGCGTTGACGGGAAATGTGTCTGCGATGAAGGTTCACTGGGGAAGATTGTAGCGAACTTAGGTGCCCCAATGACTGCAGTGACAAAGGAGATGCGTCGACGGGAAATGCGTCTGCGATGAAGGCTTCACTGGGGAGATTGTAGCGAACTTAGGTGTCCCAACGACTGCAGTGACAAGGCAGATGCGTCGATGGGAAATGTGTCTGCGATGAAGGTTTCACTGGGGAAGATTGTAGCGATCTTAGATGTCCCAACGACTGCAGTGACAGAGGAAGATGCGTCGACGGGAAATGCGTCTGCGATGAAGTCTTCACTGGGGAAGACTGCACAGAAGGTAAGGACATTGCATCTCTGAGGAAACCAGTTCATTTATGAAATCATACTATATTATTTAAATAAAATTTTGCTGGCTGGCTTCCTGGCTAGATTGTTGGTTGCCGAGCAATTGTGCATGCACAGTAGTGACATCACTGCACACATGTGTGATGTCACTCAAATCACACAGCGTTGAGCCAGATTCGATCGTCGCGTTTTTTTTATACTGACAATAAACATATTAAACAAGTATTTCGTAAACCTGAATCGGGAACGTAACTTCTGCAATAACACCCGGGCCGCTCACCCCATTAGCTCAATGCTAAAATTAAGCTCTAAGGCAGCCATTTTGTGCCTTCCCAATGAAAGCATAACGCAGCACAATACCAAATGTTATAAACTATAAAAAAAACAGTTATATTTTCATCACCAAAACACTATAATCATCTTCCAACCACGTTATGTGTAGTGATTCGAGTTGGACTGATCAAAATAAACAATTGACACTCGTAATAATTATAATGAAATAACTCGCCACGAGGCACGGCGCCATCTTATTCGATTTCCCGCGCAAAAATTACAATATAATACAACCCAAAAATAATTGATCCACTCGTACCTCCTAGTTATCATAAACACCCTCACATTCTAGACCCAATTATTGTATTCTATATGGTGAAGTCAACTTTAATATCAAAGTCTTAATTGTGCATATCTCTATTACCACCGATAACTCAATCAACATTCAATTGACATTACCGAGTTCTTGTCAGTCAATGGACGTTCAAGTAATATCAATTTATAATATATATTTATTGGAGCTAATGTAAACAGGTCCCTGCAGGGTGGGCTGGTAGGAACGAATAACCAAAGAATATAAACATAATGTATTATTACACTTGTTTAGCCAGGAAAGCCTCACTGAGTGTAAAGGTTTTTGTAGGGTCCTGCCAAGTGTTTGCAGTAGGGGGCGATGTTGCTACACCTAATCGGACGATACGAAGGGAGAGTTTCAGGCCTAGTTCTAGGCTTTAGGCCTAGCTGTAGGCTTTAGGCCGCAGTGAGTGAATTTTTATTTAAATGTTTTAATTATTGATGTAGAATTATTAATGTAAAAGCTTTAAATGTAAATGTTTCTATTTAAAAACATCAGGGAATGTAACATTGTTAAACATTAACTCCCTTTCACACACGCGGGGGTACGATACGAAGGGAAATCCGCCCAAATCGAAATTTGGGTACGTCTCATACTCTGCTGTGCACGTGGGGCTCTGGGTCCAACCCCTGATCACTGCCTTA